AGAGAGGGAGAGAGAGGGGGGGGGGGGGGGGGGGGAGAAAGAGAGAGAGAGAGCACAGTTCAAGCGTCGTTTCGCTTGAGGAACGTGAAAAATTTTTGTGTCGAAAGTGCGCTACCTACAATTCTTATCAGTAGAACCTATCGGCCCGAAAACAAACAGTCCCCCACCCTTGGTTCAATCCAGACATGAAAATTAAACGTTACAATAAGTCAGTGTTGGCCGTAGGCACTTGCATCCTGCACACACGAGGTACGGGTTGCCCCAGCCACAAAAGTTTAAACATTCTCGGCAGAGAAAATAAAAAGCAAGGTCCACAAATGGGAGACAGTTGTTAAGCTATTGCGAACGTGTGAGTGTGTCCACACAATGGTGGCGGAAGAAGTTAAGAGGTGGAGGTGCGTAGTGCGGGTGCTATTTGAGTAGCCAGCCGGACTTGTACGTGCTTCTCCTGGCCCCCGCCCCCCCTCCCCTCTACCTCTATCTCTCTCTGGTGGCTCGCGGGTCGGCGATCCATGAAGGAGAGGCAGCCCATGTCGCCATTCACACGACCTACCTGGGAAATGAATACCTGGAAAGGCAATTACCATTTGAAAGGTCCACACAGCGGCTGGGCTGCTTCGTTTCTTTTTTCCTTTTTTTTCTCCCTCCTCTTTCCTTCCGTTTCCTGAATAAAACATGTAAACGAGGGCCGGACGGTGGTAGCTCTACACGCGTGTGTGCATTGCCCAAATTTCGATAACGCCCGCCGCGGAGAGAGGGAGGCGCCGTACGAAACTAATAAAAACAGTCTAGACCGGCCATCAGCGACTTTATCGCAGCCTCTCCCGAAGCATATCGCGGGCGTGATCGTACCCACCGATCGATTCAAATTTTAGGCGACACGTTGGCGCGCCACCGACTTGGCATATATGTTCCGACCGTTGCGCTCGACCGCCGACATCAAAACATTTTTTGAAAAGGATGACCCAGCTTTAGCAGTTATATACAACTACAACAGCCACGATTCAACTGAAATTCAAAAGTTGATTGAAGTAAGATATAATAAAGCACGCGCAAGGCCAAAAAAATATGTAAGTTTTATAAAACAAGTGATAAAAAAAGAGGAAAACGGCATATCTCAATGCGAATTAAAGCAGACATCTGTTTCAAATAAGAAGACCACGGCAGAGAGACTGCGCCCCCACCCATTAGCAGTATCGACTTGATGTAACCCGGCCTGCATGTAAGCAATCGAGGGAATAATTCACGACCTTTCGCATTCGCTCGGCTCGGCTGTAGACTCAATCAATATTCTCACCAAGGCGCGGGGCGAAAGAATCCCGACACAGACACAAAATTGATCTACGAGCTTAAAAAAGGAGAAATCTTTAGATAAATCAATGTCAATTTTGATTTTCTTCAACTTTAACTTGCCTCAACATGGGGTTACATTGGGAAAGCTCGACAGGTTTATCATCTGAGTTTTCCTGGTTTTCCACGGTTAGGAAATGCAAAAAGGTCAGAATGGTAGCCAATTTACAGAGACCTAAATTTGTATTATAATCAAAACAATATGGAGGGGAGCGGCGGCAGCGCTTAGTGACGGAGAGAGCGAGTCAGCGAAGGAGCGGCCATAGGAAGAGGCCAAAGCGGGGCACGCAAATGTGAGGCAGCGAGGAAATTATAGAGGTTACTCACGTGTAGGAAGCAATTGGATTGAGCTTGATATTTGAGCGTGGATTAAAATTTGATAATAGCTAATGAGGCCTGGGTATTCAAAAGGAAAGTTACATAATCAGCCTCTTGCCCAAGAAAGATAAAGCAGATCAGCCAGAAGTTTCTTTTTTGAACTAAGAAAATGCTGTTAAAACCGATTGTGATATCAACTTTTATTCATGCAATTAACTCCTTGGCACCTGTTGGATGCTAAGACTTGTGAATTTCCGTTTTATCTTCAGCACTTCTCGTCCCACCAGTTATACTTCTATACTTGAATGGCAGTAATCAAAAACGAATATAAAACCACACTTTAATAAGGCACAATAAGTTAATGTTCAAATTTATTCACAAATATAGACAGTAGTATCTGCATCTTCATCAGTGAAAAAAAAAACGCACATAAGCATTTAGTGTGAGCGCACGCGCCGAACCGTGTCAAGGACGAAACAGGCAAGACTCACAAGTCTTATCTAAAACTTCATTCCTTTTTATTTATTTTGTCGATCTACATTAGAATAATGAGAGCAAAGGTGTGGAGGTTTTTTTTTTTTTCAAGTTTATATGTAAGAAAAGCGGAGGCTTAAACACGATACAGTAACTCTTTTACCCCCTTCCCTCCCCCTTTTGCCCCCGAGGCAGCGTCGCAGTATTATAGAAGTCACTTTGGACTCGCTTTGGACGGCCATTTACGAAAATGAAGACTTCCGCGCGACACGCGAACGTCAAATTTTTCATACTTAGCTTGAGCACATAAAGCCGGGCCGCCGGGACGTTGCGTGCGCCAGCGCCGCCAGCGTAGAAAAAGCAATTCACAAATTTCACGCTCAACCGAGAGACAAAGGCGACTGCGCCGTCCGCACGGAAAACTTGTAAAGAATTCACGACATTTCAAACACAGCGCCGCGCCACACGGAGCGACAGAGTGGCAGAAAGGGGAATAGAGAAACAATACAAGGAAAAGTCGGGGGCAAGAGCGCCAAAGGTGGGAGCATTTCACTTTCTTGAGAAAGGGTGTCCTCACTGGTAAAACTAGTGTTTCATTGTGAACTTCAATTGATATACAATTTTAGACTACGCAGTTTGGACACATCGTAGGGTTTAACTGGACTGTACCTACGTAAATTAATGCGCAAACTTACGACACTTCATAAACGTTTAGCAATAGTGCTGTATCGTACCGTTTTAGGGCTTTCGACAATCCAAGAGCCGAGAGAAATGCAGCAAACCATTTGCACGAGATGGCCCGTTTTGCAAGCTACACGACTAAGAAGTCTCAAACTACAACGCCTCAAATAAAAATTCGAAAGCCACAAAAAATAATTGTAATCATTGTAATAATAAAATCACTCGTGGCCCGACCCGAGCGGTTCAGCGTGCCCTTGAGAGAGGGAAATGGGGAGGGGAGGGGGTAGAGAGAGGTAAAGAGTGAGGTAGAGAGAGGGGAAGAGCGAGGTAGAGAGAGGTAAAGAGCGAGGTAGAGAGAGGTGGGGAGAGGTGGGGAGGAGAGGGGGCTACAGCTGGAGTTACCCAGCCGCACCACAGCGGCAGGTATTTTCAAATTTAGTTTTAGGACATTTTGCATTGCGCGCCTCTGATTGCGGCGGCCAGGCCGGCCTCCGGGGCCATAAAGGCAATTATATTGCCCACGAATGCGAATCGAGTCGGGCGGGTCAGTCCAGCGGGCAATCCAGCGGGTCCCAGCCCATCTGCCGGCTCCATCTCGGGCCAGGATGAGGAGAGGCAGAGGAGAACAGGAGAGCAGGATAAAAAAAAGTACGCAACAAGCAGAGATATTGCGAACACGGTTATATGGTGCATGGAGAGTTGAACCGGCTAGAGTTAGGGTCCATTCTCCATAATGCACAATAAGAGTATATTTAGATTATTAAATTTCGATAAAATCCTATGTTGGCCTCATACTTTCCTAATTTTACTTTTTCGTACCTCAGAAGATGAATTATGATGGTCTCCCTGGCAGAATGTCTGTAGATGTGGATTAGATGAACAACACTATCGTACCTTTGCTAGCTCGACACCTAGGAAAGGTACAAACAGAGGTGGTTCCTGCAGCTACGTCAATTTATCTAGAGTCTAATGGAACATACCAAAGTTCTAAGTCTCGTGAATCTTTCTCGCCATGTCAAACAGTTTATGCTGCCTAAACTGGGAAGAGCAGCATATACTTTTTGCCGTGTATCGTTGAAAATGATGTCGGAACAGAAGACTTCCAATTCGAACCTGAGTTTCCTTTTCCGATGTACAGGAAATGCATATGGGAGGCGGTCCTGATTGGGGGAGGATGGTGAGGCAGGGAGGGAGAGGGGTTGAAAATCGTGAAAATGCCCGACGGGGGGGGGGGGGGGGGCTCCGGCCGCGTGCCGATTGAACAGGCAACGAAAGGAATACGCGGAGTGCTCGTAAACGAAGTAATGTTGTTTTACGAAGCTTATTTGACCGGGACATGGCGTGCGGTGGCTCTCTGGGTCGCGGGGAGCGGTTGGAGGAACATTGGGGGGGGGGGGCGTATCCTAGGCAACTCTAATTAAGACGCAATG